ATAGCCCTCCTTTGAATATCATTCCCTAACAAAACCCTTCCTTTGGATATCATACCCACCCTAACACAACCTCTCTTTTGGATATCATACGCTAACAAAACCCTCCTTTGGATATCATTCCGTTATGAAACCCTCCTTTGGATATCATACCCAAACAACATCCTTCCGTTGGATATCATTTCCTAACAAAACCCCTCCTTTGGGTATCATACCAACAACAAACACCTTATTTGGGTATCGTACTCTAGCAACGTCCTTACTTTGGGTATCATACCCCAAAGAAAACCCCTTTTTTGGATAATATTCCCTAACTAGGCACTCCATTGAATAGCATTCCCTAACAAAACCCCTCCTTTAGGTATCATGCCCTAACAAAACCCCTCCTTTGGATCCCATTCTCTAACAAAACCCAACTTTTTGGTATCATACCCTAACAACAACAACCCGGACATAATACGCTAAAATAGCCCTTCTTTGAATATCATTCCCAGCAAATCCCATCTTTCGGATACCATTCTCTAACAAAACCCCTCTTTTGGGTATCATAGCCTAACACCCCTCTGGATATCATACGCTAAAATAGCCCTTTTTTGGATACCATTCTCAAACAAAACCCATCCTTTTGGTATCATACCCTAGCAACAACAACCCGGATATAATACGCTAAAATAGCCCTTCTTTGGATATCATTCCCTGACAAAACCCTTCCTTTGGATACCATACGCATAAATAGCCCTCATTTGAATACCATTCTGTAAAAAAAATCCCCTACTTTGGGTATCATACCCTAACAAAACCCCTCCTTTGGATATCATACGCTAAAATAGCCATCCTTGTGATACCATTCTTTACCTATCAAAACTCCTCCTATGGGTATCATACCCTAACAACCCCCGGATATCATACGCTTAAATAACCTTCCTTTGGATATCACTCATTTACAAAACCCCTTCTTTCGGATACCCTGAACACATTCCTCCTTTGGATATCATATCCTAACAACATATTATATTCGTAGGTTAATGTGCTCGTAATAAGGCCTATAACCCGTATTTATAATAGTTTCTTTCAAATGTTGCACATGTACTCATTATCATTCCCAAATCCAAATTCAACCGGGTAGGTGATACTGATCATGAATATTTGTCGATCATCACTGTACGTAGTCGCCATTAACCAAATAAGCTAAGAATGCTTTTGAATTTTGAACTAAGAATTTTGGTTTGTGTAGTTATATTCAAGTTGAAAGTCCACTCTAAGTAATATTTGGCGGTGAATTAATGTCGCTGAGCATAACATTTCGGTTACTGAATGACACAATTGAAGCCGGGGAGTCGTCACCTGCGAATGCGTCAGACGGCCGTAGCGTGTCATTGCTTACAAACAAGCTTCCACCCATGAGCCTTTGCGTTTTAGCGTGTGTTGTTATCGTCGCTTGGGACTCAATTCCCTCGCGTGCACTGTTGACGATCCTCGCACTTTAAGCTTACAGTGTCGCACGTTTTCCCGAACAAATGGGTTGTAGTTGAGAAAGGTAAACTTACGTAACGATAACGTGTATCCCTATTTTTGAAATGAACACAAAAAAGACGATGAAGAAATGTATATTTCCATTTTGAAAGACAGAAAGTCAATTATACCCACTTGTCTTTAGATTGTGACAATTACAAACTTGTCAATGGTCAGTATTTCATCAAACATTGCTTCAATACATTCAATATACAATGTGCCGTACATGTTGCAGTAAGCGGAATTAGTAAAGATGTTTTACATTTTCAGACGTGATTTGATTGAACAATGGTGCGTGGGCGAAACTTCTGTTAATATGCCTTCCGAAACCAAGTTTGTGTCATGGCCCTAATCACGCACGTGAAATACTCAAAACTACTTAATACCTGTCTGTAAGAGAAGTAGTCTGTCTGTCTGTCTGTCTCGGACAAATTTTCGTGTAATATTCTGGGTTATTTTTTATCAAGATTATTGCTCACGGGCGTAATTTCTTATGTTTGCTCTACGCGCAACTGAAATGGACTCCACGCTCCAAATCTATGCGTGGTAACAGAACACGGACAGGAATGTTCGCTTAAATAATGGGATTAATGTCTCGGCATTTAGTGCTCACATACGAGTCCTTTCTCTGTTATCGCGTGATAATAGACAGAGCGTCGTTCTAGTAAACGTACTAAGTTATTACCAGTATTAATATGTGCCATTATATATTATCGCAATTGCAACAAATAACTACAAAGTGATACATATAATTTCGTCTACTCTTATAGTTGTATATATTAATAAAAGCTCGCTGTCATTTTCTTCAAGTGGTTAGATAATTCATTGATTTGAATGTCGTCGAAGAGCGTTTGGAAATATTATATTTTTTAATACGTGATCCGACTAAGCAATAGTGTGCAGGGGACATACACTTCTGTTCGTATACCTTCCGAAACCGAGATTGTGTCATGGCCCTAATCATGCACGTGGAATGTTCAAAACTACTCAATACCTGTCAGACAGGAAAGTAGCATGTTCGTCTTAGACTGTCTGTCGATTATTATTTGAATAAGTAATAGACATGCGCAAATAGTTGTCGAAATATCGTTTGAGTAAGCGAGCCACGAAACTTGTTTTAGCCCTCAGTTAGTGTTCCAATCCCTCCCGTCGTTACGCGTCCACGATAGAATTTAACACTATCTGAGGGTCTGGAAGGGGGGGGGGGTAAACACATTTATCGTGACTCCCTCGCTCTCAGCGTCGGGCATTTGCGTCTAATAACACCCACTAAAACAAAGTAGATATAACGTAATAACAATAATGAAATACCGGAGGCGGTATGCAAAATACTCAATTTGTTATCATTATTCACATTATACGGTGTCTTTGTAGCGTTCGCGCTTTCTGAGGTCGTTTACATCTAGTTTTCTTTCCCCAGGAATATTAATGCTATTATTTATGTATTCATTTATCGTATAATTTACATTCTTTAAACTGATATGATAATATGAATAATGTACTACAAAAAGCATATTGTATATCAGCCATAGAAACACATTACCAAGGCCGGACATATACTGTCGCTATATACAGACGCTCAGTTAGTTAAAAAGGACGCCATCTTTTCACATCAGCAAAAAAACAAAAATAAACAGAGACTACATTTAAAATATCCTTGCAAATGTAATTTATTATTTAGTATTACATGCATCATGACAAACTGACCTTGCATGTTCCAAGAACTTATCGGGGAAACATTAAATAAGTGATTGTTTTGGTCGACTGTAAAATCGTAAAATTTAAAACTGCTAGTGACGATATGGGCAGGATGTCCCATACAAATATATATTGTGTGGGTACTCTTCGAAAGATACGAGTAATGATGTACAGTACTTATAATTTACCAACAGAAAACATGAACTACGGCAGCTTTTAGCTTGTACTACTACAGAAAAATTAAGTCTTGCTGACATTCCTTTCAAGATTCGGCAAAAATACGAACTAAGGTTGTTGTTTTTTTCACCTGGCACTACAGTATATATAATTTGAAAGATACAAAGAATGTGAATAGTATCAAAGAAACACGTAACTAAGATGACTCGTGAGTTGTAGTGGTGGTGGTATTAGTTGTCGCAGATGTGGCAACATATTGACTATATTGAATCCCATCTTCAATTCATAGTCACCCGGTTGTTCAGTATTCGTACAATTATCTATGTTGACGAGAACATCACAAGAAACATGGTAGAGAGCTCCACAAATTGTTTTTATTTTATACAGAAGATATATTACGTAGCAGAATTGTCGGTATTCTAAAAGATAAAACAGAATAGAATAAAGTATGAAGATGAAATAAATTCTTACTTAAACATAAACCAAAAAAAAAATGACTGGGAAAATACTGCATTATGTGGAACTAACGTGGCCATCAAAATAAAGTACCCTGTCTAATTGGTATAGTAATAATAATGACACTTTCATTTGCCAACATCAGCAGCACTTCGAATTCTATTTCATAACAATACAATCATCTTAGGCGTTGTGATTTGTGGCGTCATTAGCGTCATTAATATTGGCAATCAGTGAGGAAAAGGGAAAACGGTATTTTGATAACATGAAGCTTTAGGGGGCAATCTTCATATTATTGACAGCTGAGTTTACGCAGTTTCGATACAAAATGTAAATTTTCTTCAAATATTTTCGCAAAATGATATATTTCTTTTGAAGGATATGTAACACGCAATCATACTTATCGCATATTATCTGAAACGTGGGACGAAGGTACGAAATCCACAAATAGGGTTTTCGACTGACACACACCTTTCTATGTTTCTATGCCCGCACTTGCATGTGACATTTATCAAATCCCATCTGGTATCTACACAATCAAGAGATTGGTCGGATGATGGGGGTCCAAGTTTCAAGATGAGTTTTATGGAATAACTTCTAGTGATAACTTGGAAAGAAAGTTAGGTAAGCTTACGTTACCTTATCATGGTTGATCATCGTCATCTAATCCTTCGTCTTCGAGGCCAGCTAAAAATTGCTCAAATTTCCTTTTTTCTGACAGTCTTTTTATTGCCTCCCTGGTATTACAAAAAAATATAGAAATATTCGGATTACTAAATTCAAAATTTTCACATAACTTCAACGTCATCGTGTTCCAAATTAGTCAACATGTGTGTCATGGAAAGGAGCCACTTAGACTCACAAATACATAAATTCCATCTATTATGAAAAGCCAAGCCTTAAATTTGTGAGACCAGCTTTTTAAATGGTGGACGTACTGACACATTTTGGTAGGTCATCATTGTTCCCCATAATAGTAGGGTCCTGTCTCACGACGGTCAAATACCAGCTCATGTTCCTTGTCGTTGAATTCGATTCATTTTTAGACATGTGTGCTATAGGGAAACTTTTTTTTTCAGATTTAGTAACCTTTTTATTATTTTTAAACAATTTGATCTACTGCCATTGTGGTTTATTAGGTTCTTGTGCCAGTGTCAATAATTATAAAAATTGTGAAGAAAGAACAAACTATATTGCATTGCAATTGACCCGAGTGTGGGCAGAGTGTCGATTAAAGACCAGGTAACACAATATAATAATATATTCACATATAAAATGAAATATCATTCGTGTACAACAGGTAATGTTCATTTCACAACACTGCATACAAATGATGTAACACGTGCGGTATATTTACAAATTAATTTTACTGTTTCGAAAACATAAATTTTGAAGTCATTTTTATAATCGTAAAGATTGCATTTTGTGAATGATCATATCAATCAAACTGTATGTTATTAATCTCATTTATCGAAAATCTAGAACAAAAACTTGGCTACAACACTTCCTTTACTTGTATGTTACGTCTAATATACTGCTACAATTTCTAGTCGTTAATGTATTGCTATATGCTGTCTATTGACGGAAATGAATATATGATCTTACCTGAACCTGTCTGAAATTTGGTACGACCTTTTTCCCCACCTTGATCCGTATAGTTCGGGGTTACATCCAGCGGCGGGGCATCCTGCCTCTGAGTTCCTGATCACCACTGATATTGTGAGTGAAACGACCAACAAAATAGCTAAAATTTTTACGGACGTCATGCTACAAACGAAATAAAAAAGGCGAATAAGTCTAAAGAATAATTCGCTTGTATGTCTGGAACACGCTTTCAGAAATGTCAGTCGTCAAATAGCATTGAAATTTTCGATGCACTGACTCGTGGCTCACGGTTCGACTCAGTATTGGGTCAGCTTGGTTACGCAGTTTAAGTATGAGAGAATGATGCTCTCGACCAATGAGATATAGAGACGCTCAGCCATTTGTATGACGTCATACAAACACGGAGCTAATGAACTTTCGTGTTGGAAAAGGTGACTGACGCTGTGACAGAACTGACAATGAGTCACAAATGGCAGCCATTCGTCCGACGATGGGATGTTTTCTGGAAAGACCACTACGTATTCGCATGTTTTTTTTTTCCTGCTAGTGGTCAGATGTAAAAAAAGTACTTATTTTGTGAAACTATTTTTTTTTTCATACTGGCACATCGGTTTCCCAATTTGGTTTCACATGAAAAACAACAATGTCCAGCATTAAGTATTGTTTTTAATATATATAACCTGGGCACAACAGATTAAGAAACACAAATTTAAGCGATTGTACATATATTATCTAAATATATCACACTGATCTGAGTTTTCTATTTTTTATTTTAGTTCAGGTGATCACACTATAGTAATTTGAGCTCATGCCACTTGCACTTTACCACGTGGTGACGGATTTACACACACCCATAGTGCAATAGCATTGTGTGGGAGTAAACTCATTAAATCATTACGATCCACGTGCAGCATTCGGGGGGGGGTTACTAAATGTATAAGTCTGTGACAATTTCCTCCATTCACGGTTAACATAACCTCAGGATATTTCACATTTGCAATACTCCTTAATATGTGATTGTTAATTATAAAGTTTACGAGTCATTTGACAATGTACATAAATACGCCTAATTGTGCCATACAACAATACATTTTCAGCGCAACTTTATCCGTAGTCAGATGGTGGACCTAATAACCCGTGAAATGCTTTGGCGATAGACAATGCTACCGGCACATAACGGCGAAATCAATTTGAGGTGTTCGCTGCAATTGGGTTTAAAAAAATAAATATGATTGGTTTTTGAAACAGAAGAAAAAATAATGATGCGTTATGTTATATATATATATATATACAGCAGAAATTGAGAGCTTTTTTTCAAACGTGACTTTATTTCGCTCGAATCATTGTTTCGCTGCATTGCTACTCTCAGACTGTCACATACACACGAGACATGAACAGATACTATCGATGCATGACTAGAGCCTGAATTTGAAATATAACCGAGTTTTATTTTCGTACAGCTATTGAAACTGACAGTTAAACAGCGTGATGGACTGGGTTGTATTGTACATATGAAATGTACAACCAATCCTTTAGCACACGTCTTGAATATACAATTACTATAAACCAAATATGATTATATCTACATATGTAAGTCCCCAAATCGTATGACATCATCACAACTATCGATACTCTGTCAACAAACGGAGATATCTCCCACAATTACTTGCAACGATAATTACACGTGGCAGCCGCGTACAAACTGTCACAATATTGATGGAGATATTCCAAGCGTAAAATAAACGTCTACATTATATTGAAAACAATGATCTTTTAGTAAAGTGTTGTCAAGTACCAATTATATTCCAACTGTGACGGTTACACTCTTCTAGTAATCTATTTTTTTGTTTTCAAAGCCTTGACAGCTTACTAATCGCCACGAAAGTAACGACATTGTCAATTCTATAGAAACTAATATCAGTTTAAAAATAAAGAAACAGTGGCGAAGGCAGTGAATTGTTATTGTTTGGCACGGCGACTGCATTGTTAATCGATCAATCTTTATCTAGTTAAAGGATGTGAGTAACTAGGTAAAACCCGGTAACCCTGCTACAAAATATCATTACACTGACGATATAAGTTAATTAAAAGAATCTATAATAATTGACATTTAAAGTGGACTGATGCTAGTGGTAATCGAAATAGAAGAAACCCGACGCCAATCGCATGTAACGCAGTCCATTTATTATTTTAACCCGTCACTATTCACATTAATCGACGCTTTGTGGTGAAATAAAACACAATATTGAATCGAGACTTCTAGTGCAACGTGGCGCGTCCTGTTATAATCACACGCAACCCGTTCATGAAAACAATCCCCATGTTTGTCATTGTTATTAGTTCAAGGCAGTGTGAAATGTTTCTTCAGAATGGTGATGCGTTACTTTCAACGCCGTTTTAAATGTCACCGTGTTCTGAAAAATAAGAATTCGGTACTCTATCCGTATTCATATATAATCGGTTTTGTTGAACAACGTATAAGTATCGTGTTACAAAGAGGAAAATTCAATCGTTTCATGTGATTTGAAAAAAAAAACAAAAAAACAAAAAAATATTTCATTACATTGCATTGCTAAAAAAACAAACTTATTTATATATTTTTATTTATTTATTTTCAATAAGTCTTTTAACGCACGAAATGCAATGGAACAAGGTCAACATGGGAAGTCTTTATTCAGTTTACGAAACTCAATTGCTAACTTAATTTCCATTATTAACGAAATTGAATGTGATCGGAAAAAAATAATTATAATAGCAGGAAATGAATGGCTATATTATCGCAAAA